GTGCAATCTGGCTTTCATTTTATTCCCATCTCTTTCTAATCATTCACTTAGAGTTCAACTCTTTTTTTAAAAACAAAAGCCAAATAACCTAAGGTTTTAACCAATTTCCAAAGAACAACCAAAAAAAAAAAAAAATTAAAAAAAAAAAAAAAAATAAATACTTTTTTTTAACTCACACCTCCAACAGTGTGCAGGTCCCCTAAATGCCTTTAAATAAGCTCTGACCCATGGAGGCAATGGTGATCCATCCTGTGCTGTCTGCTGACACCAGGCTCATGGGCACTGGATCCTCTGAGGTTGGGATGCTGGGCGGGTCTTCCATGGATCAGGCTTGTCCCAGCGTATCCTGCTCCATTTGCATGGTGTATACCTCCTGCAATTTTTGCAGTATTTTTGAGGCACACTGAAGCGGGGTGTTTAATTTGCTTTTTGATTTATGACTTAAGGTAGCACCTGCATGAATGCCAGGTTTCCCAGCAGAACACGGCACCATAACAAGATGAGCCAAGTTACCCACTGTGCCTGTCAGGCATTTTAATCTTGTGGCCCATCTGTACTTTTTAATAAATGCTTTAGGGTGTGTAAAGGCCTTAAAGAGTATAAATTCTAATTGCTCATGTAAAAACTGGATATTTCCAGGCTTTCCACATTTGTGGAAATTATGTTATTTCAACTGATATTTTGTACTCCCTCTAGCATGTTTATAATAAGCTGAACATGATCCACAGTGTGGTCTCCTACTCCACTTTAAATCTCATATTATTGCAGAATTTTTATAAATCTGAAACCTCTGATATACATCGTGTGGATACATGACAGAACAACAGGAACGGGGCTGTGGTTTTTCTAATCTAGCCATCAGAGCACAGCCATCAACTTCTCCTCACTATGCTGATGACTTCCGCTGTTTCACTGCTTCCTCACAAATTTCCATTCACTCTACAAATGAGGTAACAAGCTTCATCTTTGGGGAGTAAAGCCAAAAAGCTTATTCGTTTACTCGACTCGGATACTTTGTTACAACTTTATACTACGGAGTGAGCCGGTGAGCCTGAAACAGTGAGTAAAGGAAAGAAGTGCAGCGAGACTCAAAGCTCAGCAAGTCATAAATGGGTTAAAACATTTCCTCAGAGAGAGGGGGATTCCCAGCCCCACATGCTGAGTGCAGCCTTACCCCGGAGTTTTAAAATTTCCTCCAGCCCCTCTCTTCAGCTTTGATTGAACTTTTCCCTCACCTCCCACTGTTTAAATGGAAACAGAAACACTGTGACCTCTGCATATTCATTTGTTTCTTTTCATGTTTTTTGCAGATGTTTCAGTTTTTCATTTCAAAGAAATCCAGTGAAACCTACACATTACGCTAAACTCGAAACCCCATCGCATGGAGGCAAGCTTGTCGTCTGGGATGTTCGATTTAATACGTGGCTTGCACAGCGGTGTGAGTGATGCACTGAGGCCCTCGTCTTTATTTTCTACAAGCAAATTAAAACACTTTGGTACCTCAATGGTGAAATCTTCCCTCTTGCGTATTTCATCTTCTCTGTCTCTCTCTCCCCAACCCATCTACTCCCTCTCCTGTTTTTATTTCTCTGTCCCAACAGCTGTTGTCGGTGCACACAGCTGCAACACTCCTCACTCTGTCATGCTCTGCAGCTACTCGCCAGCCTGGGAAACCTGACCAATCGCCAAGTGTGGAGGATCAAGTGCACATGTGCAGACCCAAACACACACAGGCACACACATGCAGACACACATAGGTTTTTGGGTCAGATGTTAGCGAGGCAGGCGGCGCAGACAAGCACAGGAAAAAAAAAAAAGCCTCAGCTTCACTCAAACCCTGGTTGGCACACGTAATTATGATTCATTGAATCCTGAGGAACTAAACTCAAAATGTCAAGGTTAATTTGTGCTTCAGTGCATCAGAGCATTTCCAAAACCACTTGTCCCCTGCTCTAATGAAACGTTTACAGCCATCGTCGCCTTCCACTCCCGCCGACCACAAAGAAACAAACAAAATAATAATAATTCAAAGTAAATTGAGATCTCATTCAGATGTTTTTCTTGCAGCACCGAAAAAACAAAAACAGCCAAACAAACACACTGTGTATAATTACAAGGAGAAATTTCGCTGCACACTCCGAGCGTGCATTTACAGAGGCTCGCCTCAGGGCCGGCCTCGCCATCCACGACTAGAAATTCAAAGTGACGCTCCTCTCAATAAGAGGAATCGCTCGGTGCAGAGGTCAGAAGAACATAAGCTCACGATATATGCTTGCATAAGACTGGACTGCCAGTCCTAAGACTGCCCAGCCAATATTATTGGGTGATATTAGCCTTTTGCTGATGTGTCCTTATTGACATTTATGATGGCCGATAAATGAAAACTAATAATATATAAATATATGGGAATATTATATTTTATTAAAATCAGGCTTAAGAAACCTTTATTATGGGTCTCCATTCACACTTCAGGACTGTATTCATAAGCAGAGCCAAAGCAAATCTTTGTCCACAGTAACTGTTCCAGATGGACTCTATCGAGGCTTTAAAATGATCTCATACCATTGCTACCATATGGAGCATGTTAACCAGCTAGAGATAAACAACATAGTATATATCCATCCATTCTTTTTTTCTACTTATCCACTTCAGGATTGCAGGACCACTAGGTGGTGTGGACAGTGTAAAAGATGGACGTGGCTACAATAATGTCACCCACTAGATTCTGAGGTTCCGACTGAAGCCTTGAGATAAGCATTTATTTATCTTAGTAGCCGAGTGGCTAGTGACCGACAACTTATAGCCAATGAGCAGGCAGTCCTTAATTTTAAAACACAGGCTTGACCAAGAGTTATAAAATAGACTTATTCCGTTCAATTTGAAATGAGTGACTGAGCCCATAAATTCAGAAACATTTATGGAGGTCAAGTAAAAAGATATTTTCCCGCAGACATCTAAAGGACCAGAAGTCCTTTTTTGCAGCCACAGCTATCGCCATATAGTGGCCTTGCAGGTTTAAGGCACTTACGCACCGACTTCATTTTTGCGATAGGGAGGCAACCTCCATTTAACATATTTATGTATAACTTTAATCTATTTTCAATCTTCTTCATGTCACGATTTCTAGCACATGTTACAACCTCCATAACAACAGTACTAAACATATTATGAGGCTGATGTAACTCTTTTTTAAAGTCTTTTTGGGCACCAAAATAAAGGCAAACCCTAAAAATGTGGTTTCGTCATTTGAGATCTTGCCGCTATCCAGTTCAAAAACACTGGCTGACAGCTGCAGTCATACTTAAATGACGGAATTACCCCCTCCCTCTGTGGACTGTCCAAAAACAATTCTGTCATCCAAATTAAATCACGATTTAATGCTTAGTAAGAGCTGATTAAGCTAGCTGACTGTATTAAACCCCTGCCTAGCTTACCTTATGCATAGCAGCCCCCAACTTTTCCCAGACATTCACCCATCAGACTATAACCTCCTAGTTCTCTACTCTAAAATCTGTGTGACGTCCAGATGCGCAGATTTAAGAACAGTTCATGTGATAAGACTGGTTTGTTCAAAGCTAGCAAGTAAAGTCATGCCTCCTGCACGTACCAGAGAGGCAACACACTTAAATTAACGGTATACTTGCAGCACTGAAATCACAGCACCGGCACGCACTCCTCCCACTGTGTGCGACATGTAAGAAAGAACAACTTCAGACAATGTCATGTGTGTTCACGTGTGAAAAGAGCTCGACAAAACTTAAAGTCAGTTTCAATTAATCCTACAAAAAAACCTACTGGAGAGAGCATGTGCATCACAAATCTCAGTCAAGGTGTTTGTTGTTCAGTGAAATTCAGTTGGAGTTATTCCAAAAGGATTTGGGCTGGGCCAATGCCATTGCTAGAATGCAGCACAGAAGGGGGAAAAAAAAAAACAAAAAAAACCGCACAAACATACACATACGGGGACTATTTTCTAGCTTCAGGAACATAAGAGTGGATCGCAGATTTGACTTGCAATTTGGGCTACACAAGTATCAGATGTTGCAAATGACTGCAGGTCACAGCCACCCAAGCCTTACCTGCTTTGTGTTTTACATGATATTCATGTGACAGATTTTGAAAACAAACCACAGCAACATTCAGAAATGCAAAAGCTTTATATGATACAAAGCTGCATGTGTGTGAGATGCTATTTTCCAGGAGCCAGCTCAACAGAAGCTCTGGCAGATCCATCAGCTGTAACCCATTCCTCCTTTTTTCCCGTGTGCTCTCAGCTTTGCCAAATAACAACAACAGGGTGATGTCGCTGCTCTGATGCTCATCTCTGCCAGGCTATGGAGGTGGAAAACTGGGCTGCAAGAGCACCAGGTCTCCGTCAAATGCCTTTTCCGCTAAGTGTGATGGGATGAACAGGCCTACCTCCTCCCCCCCTCCCATTAATGCAGCACAAGGCCGCTCCAGCAGAAAGGCCTGCCGGGCAACGGTGTGCACAAATGCGCAATGAAACACCGCCCACCCAATGGCGCACAAGTCGGTCAGCGTGGTGAAGCCTGTCATGCACGGATTGGGTCGGCCCTGTCAGTGCGAGGCAACGCGTGCACTGTGCAAGGAATATTTCACTAGGGTGTGGATGAGGAGAGGAGGAGGAGAGGGAGGAGGGATCTCTTCAGGACCAAAATAGGCCTAACGTTACCGGGATGATGTTAGCATCGTTGAATAACATTAAGAGGAAATAATTAAAATAAATAAATGGATGTAAAGCAGAGAGAGAGGTCAAAACGCTATCGGAGATAATCCAGTCCAGACCGCACTGGTCCCAAGTGAAGGAGGGGAGGGGGTAATGTTATAAAAACGTGTTCCTGAGACCGCGAGAGAGGAATAAATACATAAATGCATGTTTGTGCTCCAGTTTCCGCCGCCAGTTTGTTCTCAGATAGTGCTTAAACACACACACACACACACTGAGAGAAACAGGGAGAGAGATGGAGGCTCAGACCAACCTTGTAGACTTGTCCATATGTACCATTTCCGACCACTTCCACCAGCTCGAAAATCCCAGCAGGATCCTGGATTTAAAAGAAAAAGACAAACAGCAGAAGCGGATTAATTGATTCCCCGTAGCAATTACAAGCGGGTTCGTTCGATGCAGGAGCCGGCTGCGCCCGGTTTGCTTCTCATGCCAGCGGATATAGACAAAGAAAAGGTGCCGTAGGGCTGTGTCAACAACAGCACTGCCTCGCTGTGTGATTGTATTTTTTTTGTTTAAAAAAAACAGAGAGAGAAAGAGGGTAAACGCGAGCGTGAAAATGTCACTGTGAAGCACACTCACCCTCAGGGATGCCAGGTCTATGTCCACCAGACTTTTAGCCGGAGAGTCGTTCGCCATTTTCGTTTAAAAAAGGTGGTAAATTAGCGGAATAACAGCGTGTTTTAGTCTCCTTCAGACGGACGACGTGTGTCTCATCCTCGGGTAGTTTTAATTTTAATCCCCTTACTAATATTTACAACCCAAGGCGCGTTTTTCTCTCGCTATAGTCCCAGACAGAAGCTCCACTGCTGCTGCTACATAGTGCCGCACCGCTGCCTGCTGCGCGCTCTCTCTCTCTCTCTATTCTCCGCCCTCTCTCTCTCGCAGTCAGTCCCTATGTCTCTCTGCCTCTCTTTCTCCTCATTCCCCGCCCCTTTATCCCAGGGACAGCACTAGATTTTCTGGGGCCTGGAACCAAACTCACCCCCTCCTCACCACCCTGAAGTATTTCTGCACATGCGCATTCACACAAGCGGTTCAACAATATATAGCAGTTACAAACACAACCCACCTCTTAGGATTACTTATTTCTTCTTCTTCACCACGCCCACCTTATTAAACTTTAGCGCTGGAGCACTGCCTGATTTAAATCTCTGCAGGAAATGCCATGGTCACTTACAACGTAAATGGAAATGCCTTTTAACCTTGCGCCATATGCTTCCTCGTAACCCGACGTGCACCTCCTGAGAAAAAACTAGATGTGAAAAAACATTTTAGTTGTTAGTTTAGCTTCTGACATATGCATTGCATGCAATAATACTTAAATTGTTATAAAACAAAACAAAATAAAACAGAAACATTTTTAAACAATAAAAACTAAGCAAGAGAATCGACTCTGGAAACTCACTGAAACTAACCGAATAAAAACCAAAATTCAAATTAACTAGAAAATACAAAACTAAAATAACTCTTGTGTATATTCAAGATTGCTAGAATGAGGATGCAGTTGATACTAGCATGGCTGATAACCGTTATTGCTATGCAGAAGCTAGCACGCAGCTATCAAGTCAGTAGACACAAACTAATCACACATGGTTAGTCCATTTAAGCAGACATAGCCCCAACCTGCATATTTATATTGCTTCTGGCTACTTTGATGTCCTCTCAACAAAGATGGGGTTATAGTTGTAACATGACTTGAGCAATAATTGAAATCAAACCATGTAAGATGTTTAAAGGGAAACTATCTCTCTGGCATCAACCAGATAGTTTGTTACACAGAACCTACTAACTCCCCTTTGACACTGTTTATAAAAAGCGCCTATATTAACACATCATCAATGACTATAATGGGTTAAGCCACAGTACTAGCTGCCAGTAGTCCGTCATGCAAAACATAGCTTTTTGGACCCTTGTGCGAAAAGCAACAACTAATCAGAGATATCAGATAAATGACAAATCTAGTCAGTAGTTACAATGTAAGTAATTGTAAATGCCACCTATTGGGAAGTCCTGTTTCATTTAGTAGTTTATTGCCTTCACGCAAACAGTTTTCCTACTTTCTTCTTTTCCTCCAGCTTTTGTTTGTATCCTCCCATTTCTCAGACAGGGATACAGGGCAATTAGAGCATGTGAAATGGAAACAGTGATAAATATTTCAGTACTGCTGTCACTGCTGTGCAGACAAGCTGCATTATTTCCTGCTGCCATCCCTCTTACAGTACCTGTCAGCAGCCATGTCGCTTGTTAGCTGCATACTGATAACATATCACATCACGATGATATCAGCATCCTCTTTTACAAGTCCTGTTGTATGATTTGTTCTCCAGCATCCCTCTAGACTAATGCTGGATGTGATGTTGATACTAATGTCTGAAGTAAAGGTCTGCTGGTTTACAGCTTCAGTCCAGGCTGAAATGGGTCAACTCAACAATTGATATTACCATGTAAAATGCACTAGAGACAATAAAGAGAAAAATATCCTGTTTGTGGTAGTTCTCTGGGTGAAAATGCACTGCTGATGGTGGGTGGTTGGACTGCTTCAAGCTAATAGGAAAGCAACAGTAACTCAAACAACCATCCACCACAATCAGTGTATGCAGAAGAGCATCTCTGAATGCACAAGACGTCAAACCTTGAAGGAGATGGGCTACAGCAGCAGAAGGCCGCACTTGGTGCCACTCCTGCCAGCTAAGAACAGGAAACTGAGGCTACACCAAAACAAAAATGTAGCCAGGTTAGTTTTAGTTTCTGCTGTGACATTTGGATGGTGGGTGTAAACAACATGAAACCATGGATCCATCCTACTTTGAGGTCATCAGAAAAGGAAGCAGATGATGGTCTAATGGTGTGGAGGATATTCCCTTTGCACACTTTTGGTCCCTTAATACCAGGAGAGCATCGTTTAAAGGTAATGACCTGTCTGAGTATTATTGGTGATCATGTCCATCCACTTTTTACCACTATGTACTCCTCTGAGGGCTGCGTCCAGTGGGATAATGTGCCATGTCACAAAGCCCAGATAATCTCTAACTGATTTCATGAACAAGACAGAGAGTTCACTGTAGTCAAATGGCCTGAAAAATGACTCGATGTCAATCCAACACAGCACATTTACACATTCACTCATTATAAGTTATATATAATAAATCATTATAAGTATAAGTTTACCAATTAGCACTTGGAAGAACACACTAGTAGGCTGAAACTTAATGACAAAACTTGGTAGATGCACTGTTGTGTCTTCACGAGCCATAAAACAGAGTCCCAATAATGACAATTTTATTTGCAAGTTTGGATGAGACAATTCAAACTTTTTGTATTTTTAAATTGTAGCCCTCTATTTACATCTGTTGTTTTTATCCATCAGCAGCTCTTCAGCCAGTCAGTTCAGTTTCCTGATTCTTGTTCTGCAATTTGTCCCCAGTCTGTTTTCTGCAGCGAATTCACTTTGTCTGTTTGTTTGTTATTTTTGCTCTCTTTTCTATATCCATGTCCATCCCTATGCTACAGTTTTACATTTCTCTGGTAATCCAGACGCTAAAGCTTTGCCTCGCTCACTTTGAACTGTCAATCCACGTACACCAAAAAAAAAAGGAAAACAAAGAAAAAAGTTAACCCACATGAAACTAAACCACAGAAATCTGGAGTACAAGTTAACATATACAAACATACCTTCAGTATCATATTATTCCATTGTGAAAAGAGGCACTTTAAATAAAAAACCAAAAAACACAACTTTGATTGCATCATTATAAGAAAATGAGGTTCACAGATTTTTACAACAATTACATTTGGGGGGAAAAGGACTACATGGGAAGGAACATAATGGAGTAGCAAGGACAAAGTATGAAGACATCAGAAGGAAAGAATTGGGTCATATGAGCTGCTGTTTCACATCCTGTTGGGGATAAAAAATAATTTTGCACTGTGCCCTAAAACTTATGGTCTTGCCCGCTTGATTGAGTCTTTCCTTTGAAGGTGATGAAGAGGGATGACCCAAAGACATCAAAGTATCAACCGCTGGGTGTGCCCTGCTTTCATGTGTTATCTATAGAAGGGATATTTTGGAGATTCCAGGCTGGACATGTACATTAGGCTTCTTAGTTTATTCTAGACCTGGAAAATATACTCAGACTCTTCATGAGCCTGCCCAGAGTGACTCATGGAGGGCACAGCTCAGTGTTTGCTGAAGCTCGGCTCCTCAGTTTGCCCATTTGCAAGTATTTTATTTTTTGGCTTTCTCTCTTAGGTTTTCATAATGCATGTTTATCTCAGATGGTTCTTCACCAAAGAGCTTGTCAGATCGCATCAAAGACGTGTGTCTGTGTGCTTTTTTTTTAGCAAGCTCTTCTCACAAGGTAATTTTCCATGTGTCAGGTTACTCATCTGTATCATCTGTATCTGAGTTTTGTCTTGCTACGCAACATAATGATGAAATCAAAAACAGCGCCGTGGAGGGGAAGTCAGAAGGAGAAGTTTCTAACGACGCGCACGACCGGGCTGAACCTGAAATAACAAACAATACCATTTAATCCCTGTGACAAACACACCCACCGCCACTGATCCACACCTTGGAGGTGGAGGAAGTGGCTTTTGTCACTGGACATTCATGTTTGTATTTCTAATGTCATCAGATGGTACTCACACACAGTGACTCAACAACCGTGGCTGTTAATCAGGTCAAACAGGGACTAAGAGCTGGATTACAGAAAAGGCTTTGATCCAGATATTTTCCTTTTGTGTGTGTGTGTGTGTGTATGTAGCTTTTTAAAAGATCTGTCAGGGTCCCTGGGTCTGAGCGACCCAGGGACCCTGAGCAGTTATGGACTAATATTATAATGCATGTATTTTGTATTGCTGTCCCTCGTTCTCCCTGCTTGTAGACATATGTGCATGTAGGTGTGTGTGTGGCCCTGGCAGGTGATTGGCCACACCTGAAGACCTTGACACACCTGCAGCTGATCAGGCCTCATCGGAGGAGCTACTTGAGAGTGTGGTGGAGCTCTCGCCGACGCTGGATCATTGCGTGGCTTCACGTTAGTCTCTCGACCAGGTCTTAGTTTGAGTCTCCTGCATTATTGTGTGGCTGACAGCTGCCTCTCTCTTATGTCCCCAGGAGTAGCGGGAGACGAGAGGGCAGCGAGCACGGGGAGGAGCACAAACACTGGGAAGAGGACACGTCATGGGAGTCGGGAGAGCACGGGATTTATTGTCATGTTTTTCCATCACTGTAAATAAACGCACTGTTTATACACAGAGCACCGCGCCTGGGTCCTCATTCCCCATATCCCCACGGTCTGCCATGCCAAACCGTGACAAGATCTAAGTTTTAGCCTGAACAGTTTTAACTATAGTTTTATTATAGGGTGAGGCATAACCATGAGTCCATTCACGGAGCGTTAGCTATTAAATATCTTTAACACCAATCATCACACTGTAATTTTTAAGCTTGTCTGTTACACTTTATGTACATAATGGCACACACAAACGTCTGGTTTGCTATCTTTGTGGGGACCTCCCATTGGCATAATGCTTTCCCTAGCCTAACCCTAATAATCAAAGATGAATGCCTAACCCTGACTCTTACCCTAAACCTAACCATAACCCGGATGGGTCAAACACTGAGTTAACACTCTGCTTGTGTTTGATCTACCACAGCTTCCTCCTTCATCCTCTGTGGCGTTGAAGTTGTGATGTGTAACTGCATGTCAGCATGTCGATGAAGCTGAATTTGCAAGATTTGCCATTTCGCTGCATTCAATGGTAAAAGCAGGATTGGCAGTGACTAGTTCTTCCTCAGCCTAGGCCTCAGTCCCACTGATTACCTGAAGCAGGACATGTA